AAGAAAATTGTGAAGAATTTGTATGGTTCGTCTGGACGAACCTGTACGAGCCTGGACGAACCGTCAGGATGAAATTTGTCAAGAGAGCAAATCGTCCAGGAACGAATCCACTTCGTCTGGACGAGATTTGTCCATATGGCAAATCGTCCCGGGACGAATTGGAATCATCCAGGACGATCCTTCTTGATAAGTATTGGAATTGAGATATTTTGGATCATTTTGAAGAGAGAAAAAACGCTGGAGAGAGAAAGAGAAGGAAAGAGAAGAGGAAGGCTTGATTTAGAAGGCCGCGGAGCGCTTTTCGTCTGTCGTCACTGTTAGAAGATTTCTTTGCCTCGCAATAAGGAATCCGAATCCTATTTCTGATTTCGAAGATTTTGTGTTTTGCTATTTTTCTGCTTTGTTTTGTGTTTCTGTTACCGAAAAAAGTACATATCTTTGTATTGACGGCACTTTTACAGTGTAACTTTTGGTATGTTATATAAATGATGATTTTGCACGATTTGAGTATTTTCTGGAAAGTTTTCACCGGATATTTTGAGTTCTGTGCGATTTTTATCGAATAGAAAATTATCTGGATGTTGAAAAATATTGCTTCAGTACAATGAAAGTCTTAAAATGATATTTTAAACTATCTTTGGTAATTTGTTAATTTTTTGAAACTGTGCATTTTATAACGACTTCTGTCTACTATACGATATTTTATGGGATTTTCTAATTTGAGCTGAAATCATGTTTGTTGGTTGCAATGTGTTCATAAAATGCTGATGAATGTGGTTATAATTGAAATTGTTGATACTACTGTGTACTGTGTGTGTGAGAGACAAGTAAAGACTGGTTGAATCGTTGGTTGGAGACTGGACCTGCACAGGATGGTGGGCCGACGGGCTTTCCTTTAAAAAGGGTTTGGTGTTATCCTCTACTAATCATGTGATTACTGAAGGGAATTATAAGGAGATGATTACTGTGCCGACGGGCAAAGAGTGACGACTTTTTTCACTGAGCCAACAGATATAAGATTCAAGATACAAGATACAATGACAAGACTGAAAAACACCTTAATAGCCACTGCTTCTACTTGCTCTGTATGACTACTGTATTGATTGCATGTTTAGCAGTATTGTTATTGATACTGTACGGATTTACTGATACTAATGCATTTACTGATACTGAATTTGTTCATGTTACTAGATTGTTACTGATACTGATATAGGCACTGCTACTACTGATTCACTATACTGACATAACTGAATTGCTTGATATGATTCTACGACATTGATTTGATTTCAACAGTCATGAACGATATTATTGATTTGACGTTTTATACTGACTGATTCGTTTTATACAATTGATGTTATTGACTGATTTGATTGATATTATCGATGCGAAGATTTCTTTAACGATTTAACCAAAATTTTAGATATGAAGATTTGTCTACTGCACTGAATTGACTGGCGTTATTGATACAACTACTACTGTAGAGATTTGACGCACGTATTGATTCATTGGGCTTTACGAAATTTTATACAATTTACTGATTCTTCCACTGATAGTGATAGCTTCACACGTTCCTGTATTGATTTATGTTATTGTACTGACATGCATATTGCTTCTGTACCGTGCTTTGATTTCAGTTGTAGATATTTGGTGACCTGCTGGGCTTTTTAAAGCTCATTATATGTGGTTAATATTTTCAGGTCAGGGCAAGGGAGCAGGCGATTGAGGTTGATCAGGAATCTTTAGGTTTTTGTCCTTTTGTTATAGTGATTCTTTTTGTACTCAGGACATGATGAATTATATGTGATTAATGTGTAGATCCTGAGTATTGTAAATGAACTTTTGGGAATGAATAGAAATATGTACATGATGTTTTAAATTGTAGATTTTATTAGACTGTTTACTTCTTATTGATGACTATAGTTAGCTCTGGTAGATGATTGACATAAAGGATTGACTGAATAATTCTTTCCAAGTTAGATCATGGGGCGTCACAACAAGTGCTTCTATGATGCTCCTTTCCAAGTTTTCTTTTATTTCCTATCTCTAAGAAATTCTTAATTTGCATTTTCTTGGGTCTACCACGTGGTCGAAGTGAAGCTGGCATAGTCACTTGGTCACCATCACTAATTGCAGCCCACTGCTCCTTTCCAGGTAGTGTTGCGATTGCACCATCATATGTCATTTTGTATCTAATCATAAAAAAAAATTAATGTAACTTATGGTAACTAGTTAATCAATGCATACTTTGAAGATAACGAAGGAAACGTAGTAGTGATCATCAACATACGTCTTCCATAAGGTATGTTGTCTTGTACCAATGAATGCAGCACTATGTATATAGGGTAGACCACTTAATTGTCAGAATCCATAACAACAATCATTATTTTCTATGTCAACCTCGTGCCTTGCATGAAGTCCTTCAACTTCATCTTTTCTTAAAGTAGATTGACAAATTATAAATTGATCTTTTCTTGTTGTTATATATCTAATGTACTCTTCCGCCTGGGGGACCAGTTGACCTCTCCAAGAGCCACTTTGAATCTTTCTATGCGAGCGTTATTCCATGAGCTTTGCCCTTATCATGTCTGCCAAATCAACAACAGGTTTATTTCTTGCTTCTTCAACCCATGCAGTAAAAGATTCGGACATGTTTTTCGTGTTATAGTGATTTTTTATGTGCTTACAGAATGTCGCCTTCGACCACTTGCACGATAACGTATTCAAATAAGAGTAAAGTTATAGACTGATTTTTAAGATTTCCTCAACTTTCTTATATAAATCATGTAGCTCGTAAGTATTTGCGGCCGTCCATAACAAATTTTGAAGTTTGTTTCCATCTTCACAACGAAAGAGTTTTTTAATATTCTTCCATAGGTGTCTTATACACACTCTATGTTCGACATTTGAGAAAAGAAGCTTTATAGCTTCACTAAGTCCCTTCTCCAGGTCAGATATGAAAGCTAATTGCTCAATTTCACAACCAAAACTTTCCGACAAGTTTATTAAGAACCACTCTCGAGATTTCTTGGATTCGGCTTCACCAACTTCAAATGCTATTATGTAGAGACCATTATTGACATCCAAGCAATTTACGGATAGTAGTATGCCAAGATACTTCGATTTGAGGTGGCATGCATCAACCCCAATTAAATATCTACATCCAGTAATGAAACAATCAATGCATACTTTGAAGCTAACTAAGAATCGCAAGAATGCATTTGTTTTGTTGTCACACATATATGTAATGTGAGAGCCAGGATTCCTGTTGGTTAACTCAGACCTCAGCATATGCACCCACATATAGTTATCTTTGACAGATCCAAACATTATATCTCTTGCCAACTCCCTCGAACGCTAAAGTTTCATGTATGACAAGGATAATCCATAACTTGTCTCGAAGTTATTACTAATTTCCTTTGGCGTGATATCAGGATTTTTGTTTACAATGTCTTTGATTTCATGAGCTACCCAAGTAGTAGTAGCTTTCTTGTTTCCTGCTCTATTAACCCCATGACATAAATGAGTTGATTCTAATTTTCTAACTTCAAAGGAGTGCCCATCAGGACACAATGATGCACGTACTTTCCATGGACAACCTCTATATGCACAAGTAATAATTTCCATGTCACTAGCCTTTATCTTGATAGCATAATTCTGTAAATTTGCATTAGACCTAACTACTTGCTTGAAACTTTGAGAATCCTTGAACCGTAAACCAACAAATAAAGTATTTGCTTCATCAGTTTGAGTTATAAAGAACTCATCACACAAATCATTTACTACAATATCATTATTTTCTCCGATCTCTAAGCTAAACTGATGCATTTCAGTGTGAATGGACTATGATTGGGACATATTTTCTTCATTATATTTCACTGCAACCACCACCTCAATTCTATTCCTTTCATAAGAACTTTCAAGCATGTCAACTACATCTGAATCGCTTGAAACCAACATGTAATTCTTCGGCGATGTTCCATTGACATGATAGTGTAAGTCGAATGGTTGACCCCTTAGCCAATGACAAAGTGTTTCAACTCGTTCTTTTAGCAACAACATAGTTATTTCATCACTCTGAAGCCTTAAACTTTTATGTCTTCCACCCACATACTTCATTCGGGCCTGACCCTGCACCTCACTCCAAGATCCACCGAATTTGAGAACAATGAAGCAAAAATGACTTAAATCCATTTCTGTGTGTGCATATAATTAATAAGTTAGACAAAGTGAAAAAAAGTGAAACAAAATGAGTCAAACTAATAAAAAATTGAAGTTTCCTATTTTCCTGTTCAAAATTTCAATTAAAAGCACTCTAATCAATGCACCCATTTGCAAAAATAGTAGAAGCTTAAGCTGGCAAATATGAGTAAGAACAACGATTAAACCAAGGTAACTAGAAATAAATGACAAGTTATCAGGAGAACGAAGTGGCGAAAGCTAAAGATGGCAAATATGAGTAAGAACAATGATTAAGCATTCTAATCAAAACTTTATATGCCAGCTTAACGAAGTGGCAGAAGTATTCTAATCAAAGCATTATATGCCAGTTTAACTTCAAAGGATCGCGCGAAGCATTCTATCAGAAGAACGAGTGGCGGAAGTAATAATATGAGAAGAACGAAGAAGAGGAGACAGTCTGACGTCGGAACATGTAAGAACACCTTCTCTAGCGAAGAATAGGAAATGGTCGGTCGTCCGAGAACAGGAAGGCGCAGGAAGAGAACGCTCGGGAACAGGAACAGGCGGGAACAAGAACGAGATCGCAAGGTCGGGGTAGGGGTTTTAACGCAAGGTTAATGGAGTGGTATTTGAAATTTTAGAAATATTATTTGAGTGGTATATTAGTAAATATAACACTCTCAGTGTTAAATATGTATTTTGAAATATTTTAAGTGTTATGTATATAAAAATTCCAATAATTTAATAGGATTCTCTTACGGGTCGACTTGCTTCCAGCTGATATACGGTTCCGCGCGTTGGCCTGTTCTCCATAAATACACCGGTTGGGTGTGCTTTGGACTAGCTTTACGCATTCTGAAGGCATCAGTTTACGATTCAGAAACCAAACCTAGGTCTGAAAATTCTCCTGCAACGAGTTCAATTGAGAGAATTCAGCTGTTGATTATTCCATACATTTGATCTGTTCGATCGATCAATGGCCGGCGACGGTAACTCTTTATATTTCCCCCCTCTCCTTCGCCTTCTGCAATTTCTAAATGTCGCACTTAAATTTTTTTCTTCCTTGACATCTCTCAATTTCTTTGTAAATGGATTCTCAGGTGACAAGTGGCGTCCCAGCAAGAAATTTAAAATCTCCTCGAAGGTGATTGAATGCATCAAAATCGGAGCTTGGCCTTCGACTCACTCTAACATTCTCTTTTTTTGGTCTTTCTGATTCTCTTCTCTTCTAGGCTGCCCATTTCGTTGATGACGTTGAATTGGACTCCGCAGCAGACTTCGATGAGGACAGCCGCGAACGTATTCTTTCTTCCATACCCGTATAATTTTGATCTTTAACTTTCTCGTGCTCTTATTCCTAAGACTGAATCGGAATGCTCCGTTTTGGTCATGCTAAGGCGAGAGAGAAGCCAACAAGAGAGATTTCACTAAGCTTGAGCTGAAGGTCGACCACTCTAATCGACCACTCTGGGCATGCGCGGATGGACGCATCTTCCTCGAGACTTTCTCGCCGCTCTACAAACAGGCCTACGATTTCCTCATTGCAATTGCTGAACCGGTTTGCAGGTCCTTCTCTGCTCTTATTTTCTTAGCTGCCGGGCTTGTTCTTAGACCCTGCTCGGCCTTTTCTCTCTCTTTTTTAGGTTAATTTATATGTTTTTTTTCTTCTCTGTGGTTGAGTTGCTTTCAGGCCAGAGTCCATGCATGAGTACAACCTCACACCCCATTCGCTCTATGCTGCCGTCTCTGTTGGGCTTGAGACGGAAACCATCATTAATGTTCTTAACAAGTTGTCTAAGACTAAATTACCGAAAGAGATGATAGATTTCATCCATGGATCCACTGCAAACTATGGAAAAGTCAAACTGGTGCTTAAGAAGAACAGGTATTTTATAGAGTCACCATTCCCTGAGGTAATTTTGATTGTTTTCGTATCCTTTTTTTCATCATTTGGTTGCATGCTGCAATTCAATTGTACGACGACAATGTTCAAATGTATCATGCAGGTGCTGAAGACATTGCTTAAGGATGATGTTATCTCTAAAGGGAGGATTTCTTTAGAGGTATCCTCATTTCTTTATTATCTGGCACACTTGACTGATCATATTTGTAATGCCTGCTTATTTTTTTTAGCAATTTTCGATTAACCATAAGAGGACTTTATTCATAATGCCTTCTTACTTCTAATATAATGTCTATGTTTGTTTTGTGACATCTAGGACTATTGTTGGATAAATGGTTGTGATTAAATTGCTATTTCTGCATAGAAGTTGGGAATAGATTGATAAATATATTGAGTTTGAAACAACCATTTTTGAAATGTACATAGTACCTACCATTTTTGTATCCACAATGATCTATTCATTAGTGTACCATTTTTGACATTTACACTGGGTATTCCGATCAAGTGTACCTCCATATCTTTGTTTTATTGGGTATGAAGTAACTTACTAAAGATAATCAAAGTGTTTTGATATTTGCTATTTGCGTATAATATAATTCTAATTGGTGATGCCTCTGCTAATATAAGCGTTAAGTTAGAATGATGCAGTGGATTATTAAAAATGAAGGGTCATCAGATTAATAAAATACAGATCAAATATATATGCAATTATAATGGTTGAATATCAAATAATAATGTTGGATGATCAACTAGTAATTAGGGGTGATGGTATTATATTGATGAATGCAAATAGGGGTGCAAACGAGTTGAGTCGAGCTCGAGCCCTAACGAGCTTGAGCTTTGCTCACCTATTGTATAAGTGGCTCGAGCTCGAACTTAAGCTTGAGCTCGAATCAAGCTCGAATGCAACTTGAATTTTATAATTTCGGCTTGAGCTCAACTCGTTAGCTTGAGCTCGAATAAGATGCTCTAATTCGACTCGTTTATAGGCCCGACAACTCGAACAAAAGTGCATTTTTTTAAAAACTTTTAATGAACTGCTTAAAAAATACATGTAATAATAGGACAAGTTGTACACATTATGACAATTTTGTTTTAAGAGTCAAATTACATTTGTTGTAATTGGGATTTCAACTTAGTTTTGAAGTACTGGAAACTTTCAAGAAAATAACAAAAAGCACTAGCCAAAACACAAAAACAACCGTTAACTCCCAAGGAGCTCAGTTTGAAGAACTCTTCTTTAGTTTTATAACCTCACGTCAGATTGATGGAAAAGGGCGGATTTAACCCAACCTTGTTCTAGTTTGTAGTCAATAAGTCCTATTTCATTCCAAGACAAAAAAGGTAAAACTCAAGTTAATACACAATTTCATTAAAAAATACACCAGAATAATTAAGCAGATTTAAGCGAGGCAAAAAAAGGACTGCACATCCGATATCTTTTCTTATAACCAATATCCATGTAAATAAAAATGATTGTTAGCCCAGCTGGGTTAGCTGCTGGTTAAATGTTTTCATTTGGTAAGAGCATCAAAATATAATAATAGAAAAGATGGAATATACAACAACAACGACAACAATGATATCAAGCTTTTATCCCACTATGTGGGGTCGGCTACATAATCATTTTTCCCCATTATGTCCTATTAAGAGTCAAATTCTCATTTAAATTTAATAAAAATGTCATTTCTAATATTTTCTAAATCTTTTTAGGTGTACCTCTATCTTTTTTAACATCAGCCAAATCTAATACATATACTGTTATAACCGAGTCATTGGAAGGCCCCTGGTTACTCTCTCCACTAGACCTACTCCAACTTTTTCACATATATGCATATTTCATATTCTATCTCTAAGAGTAAAACCACTCATCCACCTGAGCATACTAATCTTTGCAACACTTAACTTAATATTATGCTTCTCTTTTAATGGCCAATATTTTGCACCTTAAAACATTGCATGTCTTACCACCATCTTATAGAATTTTTCCTTAAGTATGAGGGGGATTTTCCTAGCACACTATAAGTCTGATGCATTCCTCCACTTCAACCATCGAACTTGAATTATACTAATAATATCCCCATCTATTTTATCATCACTCTAAGCAATAGACACAAGACATCTAAAACATGTACTCTTATTAAATATTTGATCGCTTAAAATAACAATCCCCCCACTAGATCTATTACTACTAAAATTATATTTCATATATTCGATTTTAGATCTACTCAAATGAAAACCTTTAGACTCTATGATTGACCTTCATTATTTAAGTTTACCTTCAACTCCCTCTCTAGTTTATCAACAAAAAGAATATCATTAGCAAAAAACATACACCAGGGTACAACTTCTTGCAAATGTCTAGTGAGAACATCCATGACTAAAGCAAAAAGATGTTACTTGTATGGGCTTAAGGCAAATCCTTAATGTAATCCAATTGAAATAATAAAATACCTGGTCAAACCACCTAGTGTTTGAATACAAGTAACATCTCCTACATACATATCTTTAATGAGTTGAATATAAGAAAAAATAGTAAAATTCATAATTGGCAAAGAATTTCTCCCTTGAAAATTAATTATCAACTGATTTTTTACAATGTAATTGAAATCCAAGTTATAAATTTGACCAAAATCAAGATCATTGCAGCAACAATAGGAAAACATCAAACGTCTCCTATAAATCAAAATATTAAGAAAACATAGTTTTAAACTAAAGCAATAATGATACAAACCATCATTAAACTAAAATAAAAATTTTAACCAAGTTCACTATGTAACAATATTTTAACATTAAAGCAACAAATAATACAAACCAAAATTAAACTAATACAAAATATTATTTTTTTATAGAAAATGAGAGGTTTATTAAGCATCTCATATTCCTTATATGTCCATAATCTTTTTTTACTTTGTGTGGTCACAAGCACTTTCAATCTACAAATGATAAAAATAAAAGTGACATTTATTGCATTAAATGATAATAGAGAGAATGCGTAGAGAGAACTTCTACCTTTCAAAATACTTCTAACCTAGAGGTAGTCTTATCTCCACCTCTTCATCATCCTCCTCTTCATCGTGCTCCTCTTTCTACATGTAATTTACCTCAAATATACCATTAATATTACAAAATGAGAAGTTTGAGTTTAACTTTAAAAATAAAAAACTATAATAAAGCATTTCCTTTATCCTTACTTTTAACTTGTAGTGTAAACGAACCCAATTTGAGCGCATAAGAGAACTTGAACAATCTCACTACCCAATTTGGAATGGTAGGTATCAACAACGAACTAAATGTAGATTCATATGCTATTTGTGCTAATTGAAATTGCCATAATATCAACAACCAATCTTGATAAAATACGGTATTTTATTTGGTTGCTCGTCCACCATGCAATAAAATCGAATGAATGCCCCTGCAGGACAAATTTCTAAGCCATCCTCATGATATTTATCTAAATCAGATTTCACAATTTTCTTGCTTGTTTTCTCTGACACATAAGTTGCAAAATCTTGCCAACAACTATACTTATTTTCTCTAGATTCTTGATTACTTTTTGAATTATTACTTGCAGCAGCTGCAGCACTTGATCTCTCTGCTTTGAATATGGAACATGAGCATTATATCTCTTCTTCAAAACATGCTGTGTATTCTGCATATAACTCATATAATAAGTTGCGTACATATATAATATTTTGTATTCTTTCATCCCTCTCATATATCATAGGAAATGCAAACTCAATGACTATAAATTTCATTATCGGATACTTGATATCATTTAAGGCTATTACAAGATTACACTCACCCCAGTATTTATCAGATTTAGCCTTCATTTTTCTTGACATTTCTATAATGAAATTATTAGAAGAATGTGTCCCATCATCCAAGACATAGTTTAAAATTGCGCAATAAGAGGCGCGCCTTTGCACAATTTGCCTCCCAAGAGCCTCATTGTTTAAGCAATTTTTGGATTTGGTGAGGCTTACGCCTTATGGAACCTGAGGCGCATCTCAGAGGTGCAATTGCACAATTTTTAGTGAGGTGTAAGCCTCATGAGGAGAGAGGTAATGACATGTTCATTCTTATGCACATTAGATCACTGCAAGAAAAATATAATTTGAGGGTTAGACCAAGGTGAAGAAGAAGGTTGCAAGCTCTTAAAAGACTGCTCATTGCAACCGTACTATAATATATTTGATTATAAGACATTACTTCCCACCACCAATATTTTAAAAAAGGCAACAATATAAGCAATAGCGAAATAGTGTGTGGCATGGATATGAAATACAAAGTAGTGAAAAAAGCCATCCCAAACGGACCCTAAGAGATAAGTGGGTAACATTGGAGATAATGAAGATTTGACATTCATAGATACAATTGCAGATGAAGATGCCTCCACTGAAGACACATGTTGTGATGGGATATGATTGGATTTTAGATGTTTTTTCTTATTTGTACTTTAGGAGTTCTGATAGACTTTAATTTGTAGTTTTGTACTTTGAATTATGCTATGAGATGCATATAGTGTATCTATTTTTTTGTTTTCCACTAAGTTCAATTCTATTTTAGATATTTTTATTGTATCATAGACTCTTACTGCTATTTATCTGCTAGAATACTTAAATTATTATTTACACAATTCTTCGTCCGTGAGGCTTACGCCTCGCCTCACGGACGAAAAATGCCTCGAGGCTTATTTACACAATTTTAAACCTTGATCCAAGACCTTCTTTATTATACAGATCTATGAAAGGAACAAATTTAATGTGGGGTATTCAGATTCTTAAATTATATTTGTTGCTTCATTAACAAAAACACAATATCACACACTTTTCCTATGTTGCTCCACTCCTCTATAGGACACTATGATAAGCATCCTCTATTTTCTTGTATGAGAAGAAAACTTCCCTCAATTTGAGGGTGATAGCTAGTATGTTATATGTCGAGTTCCAACGTGTTAGGCAGTACATAATAAGCTTTTTCGTTGGTGCTACAAATGTTGTACGAACTCAGGCTTGATTATTTCACGAGCTTGAAAAACTGCTTGAACTCGAGCTTGAAATTCAATATGCTCAGCTCGTGAGCTCGTTATCAAGTTGAGCTTGAGTAAATTCGCGACCTGGCTTGACTCGTTTGCATCGCTAAATGCAAATCATAGTGAGCATATTACTTTTTGAATTTATGTTGATGGTTTGGATGGAGAAGTGCCTTAGCACTATTGCATACGCTAAAATAATATAGTGGAGACTTTTGATATATTGATTTGAGCATTGTGTGATAAAGAAGTCATTGATATGAATTTGATTGTGGAAAAATGGGAATGTAATGGTGGACGTGTGGTATAACTTGAAAGAGTATATTGAGAAATGATTATGCTAGAGAGATGGTTGGATGAGCACTTATTGAATGGGATTATAATAGATACACTAAGTTGTTTGGTCATGTTCAAATGAGTGTCATAGATGTACCGATAAGGTTGGTAGATAAATTTATTGTAAAAGAATCAAGAGGAAAATCGAGTTGACTAAAGTTCAATTTGTTAGAAGTTGTGCAAAAAAATATGCACAAGAAAAGAAATAACACCTGAGAGAATGAATACGTGACTGGGATTAATAAAACTCACCATGGATAAGGCTAATGATGATGCTGGTGAAGATATTCTAACTTGGATGAAGAATTAAAATTTAGTTCTTTACTTCTTTATAGCATGTATTTTAAACTTTTTCATGCAATTTTATGGCATTGTTCAAACAGGTACATTTCTTTAAAAAAATAGAAGAAACAGGTACAGTTTTTTTATTTGTGTATATTCATGATTTTTCTTCGTTCATCATTTAAAAAATCTGCCAATTTTCATGAACACTTGGATGTATTTTTTTCATTCATGCAATCTTATCGTTTTTGGTTGTGTGGAACCTAGTTAACTGTGGTTTATTATGCCCAATTTTTTATTGTTCAAGGAATATCAAGCTGGTGAAACTTTTTCAGTAAGCAAAACTCCAGGAGAAATGGATACTCATAGTGGGTTGTTGGATGGAGCTGACTTAGCTGCTGCTGCGGAAGAAAAGGAAACTCATTCTTTTGAGATTGATCCTGCTCAGGTATTGTTTTTCCTTGAGTATTATGCGTCAGTTTGGTTTCAGAGAGGATTGGTGCTGTCATTTGAAATAATCACATCAGTAGCCACTACATGCTTTTTCCTAACATTGAAATTAAAAATTTTACAGGTGGAGAACGTAAAACAAAGATGCTTGCCAAATGCCTTAAATTATCCTATGCTTGAAGAGTATGATTTCCGAAATGATACAGTGAGTTATAGAGTTAAAATTACTCTAATCATTTTGAGTAGATAAGAGACTAATGATTACTTGAAGTGCCATTTATTACAGCTACTCGAGTAGTTGGATTACATTGAGGATCAACTTTAAGCCTGTCTTTTTGCTTTAGTCATGGATGTTCTTACCAGACATTTCCAAGAGGATAGACCTTGATGTTTACTTTTTGTTGATGATATTCTTGTTGTTAATAAGACTAGAGAGAGAGGGAGTTGATGAAAAACTTAAATTATGGAGGTCAACCTTAGTGGCTATTTGGTATTAGATTTGATTTAACTTTAGTGGGATTTAGTAAATCCTGTAAATCCGGATTTAGTAAATCTGTAGGGTGTTAAATCCTAAATTTTTTTTGATATGATATAAGTTAAATCCTGATAAATCCTGAGAAACTGTTTGGCAACTTAATCCATGATTTAAGGCGGTTGGTTCATTTAGAAATTAAATTTAATGTACTTTGAATTTAATTTATTTGTTAACTACCAGATATTTATCAACTTTAATTTTAATTACCTTTAATAAGTTGTGCTGATAAATAATATAATTAGAAGCTAGCTTAATTATTATTAATTATCAAATTAGTTATTTAGATGTTAATTATCAAATTACTTTTTATATTACTAATTATTTAATTTAGGGTTTACTAAACCCTAATTAATTAATTATTTAAGTATTATTATTTTTAATTTTTTATTTATTTTTAATTTTTTTAAGTATTAAATTAATTTAATGACAATTATACTACTAATAACTATAATAACCAACAAATTAGAAATATTAATTGATTTAATTTAATGATAATTATTCTACTATTTATTTAATTAAGCTAAATTAGATTACTTATTATATTACTAATTAATCATATTAAATTTTTAATTAATAATTATACTTATAGTTATCTAATTAATTAGTTAAATGTCAAATACTAATTAAGTATTTAATTAATCAATTAAGTATTCTATTACAAACTTATTATTTAATTACTATTTATATAACTAATTACTTTATTAATTATTTATATTTAAATTAAATTAGTTAAATTAATTAAAATAATTCCTAATTAAAAAAAGGAATTCTTCTCTATCATTGCTTCGAAGCTATGTTGCACCGATACACCTATTTATGAAGGCGTGTTGTATCCGATACACCGATACACGGATACGCCTCCGATACTCCACCGATACGTGTCAGATACACCAAAGCCGTATCCAATTAAAATACTATTTAAGATACGCGTGTCCGTTGAAAAACAAAAAGAAATCCGAAAAAAAAAGACGTGTCGTATTTACTTCCGCGGTTGCAA